CACACACACACACACACACACACACACACACACACACACACACACACGCACACACGCACACACACATTGCTTGTGCATCAACAAAACCAAACCAAAACCCTAATCTCCCCTAACCTCCCCCAAACAGGGCCAACGCACCCGTGCAAGCTGAGCGTCTGCAACGAAGTGCAGCCAACGAGCAGCGCCGCCGGCACTTCCGCCACCCCCGTCCCGTCCGCCAGCAGCGACTTGAGCCGCCCCAGCCGCCCCAGCTCCTCCGGGAGCCTCGCTAGCCCCGGGTTGCCGGAAACGTCCAGCGACTCGAGCGCGCTGGAGCCGCCGAGCTCCGGCGGGAGCGACTCGAGGCGATTGTTGGCGCAGCCCAGCGCCCGCAGCGCCCCCAGCGCGCCGAGCGACGCCGGCAGCGCGCGGAGGCGGTTGTTGGATAGGGAGAGGGTCTCCAGGCGCCGGAGGCCGGAGAGGGCGGCGCCTGGCGGCAGATCTGAGATCTGGTTGCCGTCGAGCTGCAGGGTTTTGAGGGCTGTCAGGGAGCCGATCTCTGGTGGCAGGGATGTCAGCTGATTGTTGGGCTGCAGAGGGGGAGGACGTGTGTGTGCGTGTCTGTGCGTGTGAAATTGTCTGTGAGTGTATTGTGTGTGTGCGGACAAGATGGTGAGAAGGGGCAGGGGGGTGAGTCATATGAATGCCTCAGGGAGGTGAATCAGGAAGACGCAGCCTGGCACGCACCACAGCGCCGCCCGCGGCGCACCACAGCCGCAGCTAACAGGTGCGCGTCGCGGCATCCTGGCGGCATTTGCAGCTGCGGTCCACCCAATGTGAGGGCGCGCCGCCTGCCCAGCCCCGGTCAACACGTGAAGTGTGGGCACAAGTAATCAAAATAGCAGACCTCAACCCTAATAAAACCCATTTTGAAAAGTCCAAAATCCAAACGGAAACCCTGTTGAGAGCCATACCCCCGGCCGCCTCACCGCCGCGAGCCTCGTCAGGTTGACCAGGCGCCCAACCTCGGGCGGCAGCTGCTGCAGCGCCGCGCCGCCGCAGTCAAGCACTTTGACCGCCGCCGCGAGCTCCTCAAACACCGCCGCGGGCACCTCTTTTGATCCCGGGGGCAGGGTGACGATGCCGGTCGCGCGCCACGCCTTGAGGCGCGCCGCCGCGGCGCCGCGGCGCTGCTTCACATCCGCTGGCGGCGCGAGGCAGTTGCCCATGGCGCCCAGGAACCCCGCCGCCGGAGCTTCGCGAGCACGTGGCGGAGAGTGTGGGTGTGCCTACTGCTGCTGCTCTCGGGGCTGTCTACAGTGGCGCGAGCTTCTCGCGCTGGGTAGCGGCCAGGAGCGGGTGCGGGAGGACGCAGGCGCAGACGCTCTGCACGGGGTGACCGCCTCGCGTCCGTCGACCTGTGGCTGTGTATCAGGTCAATACTAGAATTGAGATGCGTGTCGAAGGGCTTGATGCGGGGGATGAATGCGAACGATCTGCGGCTTGTACTGCTCGAGCACCTTGAGGGTTTGACTGTATGCGCGTTGAATTGAGAAGGTCTTGAATATCTTATCGCTAGGTCTAGCTCGAGGAACGTAGGCGGAACGACCCCTGTCACCCGAGTGACATCTCTCATCATTGGAGCCTGGTTGCAGCACAGCAAGCCCTCAATTGTGCACTGTGCGGTGAGCGCCAGCACTGATCATAAGGGTCTCATAGCTGGTTTTGGGTAGAATCGACCGTGATGGTGGACTAAGTTGAGTAGCAACGACGCAAAGTTGCGCCAGTCAACAGCAGAGCAGACCAGTCAACAGCAGACCGGTCGCTGCTGTGAATCCAGGTGACATACCAAAAGTTATACCTGCGAGTTCTGAAACCTCAAACCCTGCAGCAGACGGTAACATGGCCGTCCCTTGCTCCAGGATTGGTGTCCTGGGAGTGCTGCTGGCACTGCTGGGACCCCCCGCTAGTAGCGACGGGTCGGCCGCCCATGCAGCCGCGGCCAGCTAGCCGCGCGGCAGGCTTCATTGGGGCGCCCCCACATGCTGGTCATATCATTTCTGTGGTTCTCGCCAGGGGTTCATCAATGGCTGGGATCAGTGTGCATTGGCTGCCTCCCTTGTGCTGTTGTGATGATGCTCGAGAACAGCGCTCGCGGGGGGACTTGATGCAGGCGGCAGCAGGCACGCTTGCAGCCAATGTCAGACCCCGCCCGTCGAAGAGCTCGTGCAACGCATGCATCAGCACTCTGGTGGGCGCTCTTGAGAACCTCCGAGCAAACTGCCGTCTGCATAGAGTGTCGGCCCCAACAAAGACCCTGCTGCCGTTTCACTGCCGCTTCGAATGCTTGCTTGTGCCCAACCAAGTGCACAAAACTAGATAACAGGCCGAGGGGAAGCAGCAGTGTGCCCCAGAAAGGTATGATTGAAGCACAGGAGAAAGCAAGGAAAGGAGTAACGCACGTCCACAGCAGTGGTGGCGACTGAGTTTTCTCAGTCTCAGTCTCTTGGAGCTGCGAGATCACACCCAGGGCAAAACTCATCACGATGCCTGCCCACAAGAAAAGAGGCGACATGACACAGCACAGGCCGTAAGAGGAGACGAGAGTGGGCAACTCACCCACATTCAAGCTTATTAAATTGAGCATGGCAGTCCCCCTCGCACATACGTTATGAATCAGCGCTGCTGCAAACCGACCATGGCAAATTGTAAGCAGGGTGCGATCGCACAGCAGGATTCGTCCAACAGCTGGTGGCAGCACACAACGTATCGCTGACTGGCAGCAGCGCGCATCAGTCAAACATCCTCTCCCCTCTCGCAAAAAAAACGAACGTCGAGCACGCCTTGACGCACATCCCCGCGCACAGCGCGTGCGCGGAGACCCAGCCTGCCCGCTCGGACGCGCCGCCGGCGGCGTCCAATATGGCGCCAGTGACGGCCACGCCGACGACTCCAGATACGGTGCCTGGCGGGGCCGGGGGGCCGGTTCGGTGGGGTTGATGCTGAGATGATGTGCAAACTTTGGAGGTATAGGGTTGTGCGGCTCAGCAAGTGTTTGTATTTCAGAAAGTCACAGCTTTGTCTTTCGCAGGAATTCGCAGCTGCCGGCAGCATTGGATGCCTCTTGACCTTGCCAGGCACCTGCAAGCGCATGTGCACACACAAACGCACACAAGTGCTGGCGCACGCACACACATACACACACACACACGTACACACGTACGCACGCAAATGCACCCTGCCCACACACGCGCACTTCCCGACCCACCCACGACATCTCGCACAAACGCACAAACACTCACACCCCTGCACACCACGACCCCGCCGCACCTGCCGTGTTCGACAGCCCCATTACTATGCCGGCGTACTTTGGTGCGATGTCCATGTGATTGACGCTGAAGCCGCCCCGAGAGAAGCCCAGCGCGCCCAGCGTGGCGGTCGACAGCAGCACGCCGCCCCAGACGCCCTGGGCCGACGGCATCACCACCAGCGCCGCCGCCGAGGCGAGCATGCCTGCAGGATTTGATGCGGTGTTTTGATCAGATGGAGGGAGAGATATGCAGGGGTGAACAGGGACAGCTGACAAGGGCGGGAGGAGTGCGTTAGGCTGAGCCGGCCAAGGGCGGAAGGTGAGCAGCCAAATAAAGGGTCGTGACAGGTGCCAACAAAACCAGGCCACCAGATATTGGAGATCAACCATATTTGCGCCGCAAGAAAGCCTGGGTGTGCGAGCGGGAGTCCCGGCATCCTCGAACCACCCTCAACCGCACGCCGAGGGACCCCACCTGCCGTGTTCACCGCCTTGCGCGCCGTCGCAACCGACAGGCCCCTCCTGTTGATCAGCCAGTCCCCCGCCCAGCCGCCCGCATTGCTGGTGAGAAACATGGCCAGGTACGGTAGCGCCTTGATCGGGCCCAGATCTGACAGATCGCGCTTCAACACCGCGCTGAAGTATGTGGGCATCCAATTCATGACCACGTAAAAGGCGTAGTGGAAGGCGAAGTTGTTGGCCACGATCGCCCACACCGCCGGCGACCGCAGCATGCGGCGCCACGGCGTCGGCGCAGTCCGCCCCTTGCGCGCTACGCTGGTCGGCCGCGCTGGCGCCGGCGGGCTGGGCTGCGGCGGCGCGTGCGGCGTGTTGTGGTGCGGCGGCCGCGCGCGCGGCGGGCTGGAG